GTACAGGCCCGACGCTAGCCGCATCATCTACAAAAGTAGAGAGCTAGCAACGTCGGCAGTATATATTGTCACATGATATCAGAGCGCCTAAGCGATATATATATATATATATATATATATATATCGTCACAAACAGAACTGCCCGGTAAACCGTAGGCAGAGAGAGAGAAGAGGACAACAACGAGGGGCTGTGACAAACTGTTTCGTTGGAGTTTCACCAACTCATCAGGAGGCTGAACCCTCAACAGTCTGCAGAATCCCCTCACTGATTACACTGTAAATGATAATCTACTAATCGACATATATATTGTATATCGTCACATATTCAGCCTCCTGATGACTCGGTGAAACTCCGACGAAAGAGTTTGTCACAGCCCCTCGTTTGTTGTCCTCTTCTCCCTCCCTCCCTCTCTGCCTACGGTTTACCAGGCAGCTCTGTTTGACTATAGATAGATAGATAGATAGATAGATAGACAATATACATATATATCTTCTATACCTCCTTCCACTTCTTCCTCTTCCTACTACTACTACTACTACTACTACTACTACTACTACTACTTCTACTACTGCCGCTACTTCGATCCCGAATTGTGTTCCACGTCAGCTTAGCAACCTTTCCACTCCCTCATTTTTGCTACATTCAATTTCGCCCCCCTCCTACTCCGACCCCGCGTACATCCCATGTAAGCCAACAAGCAGCCCTTCCTTCCTCCTCCTCCTCCCCCCCCCCTTCCTCCCCCTCCTCCTACTTCCCGCCCCTCCCCCCCCACTCCAACTCAGGCACCCCTTCCTAAGCAACGTTCCGGCCATGGCTTAGCCGTTGGATGCCTTCTTCCTCTTCTTCTTCTTCTTCCCAATTCCTCTTCTTCTCCTTTCCCTCCTCCCCGATCCCGACATTCCTTCAACGTGAGATATAGCCCAGCTCCGACACTCTTACTTACCCTCCCCTCCATCATCATTCTGCTCCAATCCGATCCCGACATGCCTCCCAGGTCAGATAGCCCAGCTCCGACACTCTTTACTTACGCTCCCTTCATCATCTTCCTATTTCTCCCCTTCCTACTACAACTTTGAAATTATCTCGTTGCACTCTTACTTAGTACTTATCTGCTTCTTCATCGCGGTGGAAATGTCTGCCACGTCACGTAATGACACCCCCATCCACTCTTCTCTTAGCCTTCTCTCTTCCTCTTTCCCTCCGATCGCGATCCCGACACCATTCCTTCCACGTGGCACGACGACCTCTCACCTGCCTTCCTCGAAGCGGTCGAGGTTCTTTTCCCGCACTAAATCACGCATTTCTGTTTTCTCTCTTTTTTTTTTTGATGACGCACTTCTCGGACTTGCAGCATTACATAATGCATTAGCAGCAGCAGCAGCAGCAGTAGTAGTAGTAGTAGTAGTAGTAGTAGTAGTAGTAGGAGGAGGAGGAGGAGGAGGAGGAGGAGTTCAAACGCACGCAGTGCGCCCCACCATTATTTGGGGGAAAAGAACAAGAAAAAAAGTCAGGAAGTGTCAATCTTAAAAATAATAAAATAAATAAAAAATCCCATGCATGGACATTCCTTTCAGTCAATTTCCAAACGGACCTACAGCCGACGGAGCAATACTTTAAGGGGGGGGGGGATGAAAAAAAAAAAAAAA